AGTTGCGCTACTGTATATACTGTGACAATCTGACAATACCTACGTGTATGTAAAAGTTAAACTTTCTCATCAATTACATTACTTTAAAATGCCACTAATAATGATAACTGGCATACCATGCAGCGGCAAAACCACGAGGAGCCTCGAGCTCAAGAGTTACTTCGAAGAGAAGTTGAAGAGTAGTGGACAAAACGTGGAGATAATTAGTGAGAGCAATGCAATAATCCAAACAGGCTATAACAAAAATGTATTTTTTGCGGGTAATTTCAAGAGCGAAATGAAGGATATTTGCATAAAGGTCAACGTTTTCATAGACGTAATTTTGATTATATTCCGATATACATTGTTAATACCAGAGAAGCTAATACTAAAAATCTATTTGATCCATTGTGTTACAGTGTCATTTGTGTCGCTTGTTGAAAGGCACACTTCGATTGTTCAACCCATTTGTCTAATCCATGTAATAGCATAAAAGAGAACTATAAAACGTGGACATTACTTTGATGTTTGGTACATGAAAAAGGCCGAGATATTCACTCTTAAATCTCTCTCTGATATTCGCACATGACCTTTATGTATATGTATATTTTGGTCAATGTTCAGTATAAAGCCCAAGACACAATGAGCGAGTTCAAGATGGCAAAGCAGCTAGGCATGCTTATCGAGCGAAGTCTTGTTTTCTTTTATTATTTAATTTCAAAGTTTTTTGATGTCAAGTTTGAAAATGATAATTTAATGATAATTTACTGCACATGAATGTTATCATTTATGAATTAAATATGGTTAAAATATCTTTTTAACCTAATATCATTTATGAATTAATAATGTCAGTTTAGTTATAAATTAAGTGTAAAATGGGATATTCATTCCAACAACTTAATAATAATAAGAAAACAACAACTTAACTATATAAGAAAATTACAACTTTAGAGATTTAAATAGATTTTAATAGATTGTATAATAATCTATTTAAATCTAAGTTGTAATATTTTATTATATAAATATATAATTCTCTGCTATAATTTTATTATATAATTCAAATTATAGCAGAGAATAGTTTATGATTCGAAATGTATATCTGCGTACTTTCTGCTTTAATTAAACACGAATTTTCTTATATAATAAAATTGTTATTTTCTCATATAATTAAGCTGTAATTTTCTCATGTAATTAAATATGTTGTTTTCTTATTATCATTAAATTGTTCGACTGAATATCTCATTTTATATTAATTTATAACTGAGTGAACTGACATTTTTTAATTCATAGACAACATTAATGAGCATTGTGTAGTCAAATATTATTAAATTATCATTTTTCAACTTACTGATATAAAAAAAATTTGAAATCAAATAATAAAGAAAACAAGACTTGAGCAATAATTTTCTTTCTTGGAATATATTCTACGCATAATATACAAATTTACAAAATACAAGAAAATCAAAAGAAGGGGGGGGCGCTATACTGAACATTCACCAATATTTTGCAATTTCAATGTTATGACATATTCAAATGTTACATCGTGTCAATCTATCTTGCGTTTTCAGATTCGAAAAAAGAGAAAGCTATTAGGAGTTCAATCAAATCAGACATTCAACGTAAACTAGACTCAAATGACTTATTGATATTTGATGGTAGCAATTATATCAAGGGATATCGATATGAAATCTATTGCACGACCAAATTGTATGAAACTCCTCAGTGCACGCTGTATTGTAACTTGCCAATCGAACAAGCTTGGCTATGGAACAATAAAAGACTTGAGTCAGATCGATACGATAGGGAAATTTTTGATTCACTTGTATCCAGGTGATGGCATAATGATAATAATAATAGCAAGAAACTAGAGAGTTTAAACTTCTAATATTCAGACATTGAATACAACAGATACGAAATACCAGAGACTACAAACCGATGGGATTGTCCACTTTTCACAATCATGCCCGAGGACATTCTAATGTGTGACGAGATTTATTGCTATCTCTACAAAGGCAAATTACCAAAACCAAATCTGAGTACCCAAATTGTTAGAATCTTTTTCTCATCTTCCTTTTTTATAATGTTTCAACACTCACCAATACTCACAGATATTTATTCTTTTAGCCGCCATTAGCTTCCACGAATTATCTACACGAATTGGATAATATAACGAAAGATGTGACAAACGTAAGTTTTGTGTGTGTGTGTGTGTGTGTGTGTGTGTGTGTGTGTGCGTGCGCGCGCGCGCGCGCGCGCATATGTGTAATTACAAATGCACCGGTTATCCAGTATTATCTGATCTCTGCTGGATAATGTCGGATAGCCGAATATTTTCTTTTATGGTCCATATTCAGAACGCGCATTTATCGATAAAAGCGTGCTTTTATCTCCGAATTTCTATAATATGAGTAACGTAAAGTATAGCATGTTAGCGCGCTAACATCATTGTAAGTGCATTCTGAATACAGGCCTATGATTTATCCGAGCGCATAGTAGGATTTATTTTAACACCATTGCTTACTTCGATACTAAAAACTTCCTAATTATCACGCATGCGCGAAAAAGAGCCATGTTCAGCAGCACTGAGCACTAATTACATCCAGAAATGCTAATTTTGGACGAGTTTTTAAATTCATTGATTGATCAATCGCACTGTGCGCAAATGTAATTTTGTTCTGTAAAAGCTGCATTTGCGCATAATGCGATTTATCAATCGATGAATTGAAAATCTCGTCCATTTATATGAAAAATTTAAATATTTAATTTTTATTTTTAATAATTGTTTAACAATAGTTACTAAAAAGTTGATATAAGTATTGTTTCTATCAAAGTAAATAATGATATTTCATCTTTTTTACTTGATTGATAATTTTACTCCATTTTTTAAATATTGGAACGTTTTCTACCGGATAATATCCGGTTTGTCCGGCAAAAATAGTAGGGAGATTTTGCAATACCGTGTATCCAGATACAGTAAACACTAGGCCTGTTCTTTTTGGCTGAACTTTTGTACCAGTTTATCTTTCTTCCTTTTCTCTCTAGGAGGAAAGAAGAGGAAGAAAGATAAACTGGTGCAAAAGTTTTAGGCCTATTAAAATCATGTTATTTAATGTGGAAAGCCGAAATTGCAAATGCGCAGTTAGACTTTCCACTAAGTAATGAGACTTCAGCATTTACCGTATCTAAATATACGGTATTGCAAAAACTCTAGTATTTGGCTAGATTATTCGGTATCCGCGAGAATAGATGTTTATCCGATATCCAGCTATCCGATAAAATCACTATCTGGGAGTCGATTGTATATCTTGAAATGAGATGAAAATTACAAAAGTGAACAGATTCACTCGAATATTCATAATTTAATTGGTTAATACCTCAACCTAGTCAATTTGCTCACTTATATAAGTTTCACGCATTTCAAAATACACAATCGACCTCTTTGCTCTTGATGCCTAGTAATAATTCGCAAGTGTACTACTACACATTTATGCAAGTGATTGAGTGTTAAATACTAAAATTCAGATGTAATAACCATATTTTTGTTTTCTCTTAATTGCTTTTTTTTTTACTGTACAATATATCACTTCCTTACTTCAAAAGTGATCTAACTTTGAAAAGAAGTAAAATTTTCGAGTTATTATATTGAGTGAATTAAGTAAAAATTACTCTATTAATCATCAATAGTGAACTTTTATAAAAAAAAAAAACGTCAGCTCAAAAACGGATGGTTTTTTTTTTTTAAGGATTATGAAAGGAAAATAGCAGAAAAATTATTTTTTATTATATGTTAAGAGTCTATTTATTTGACCAATAGAATTTGATTAATCAATAATCTTCTGTTATGTTTAAAAATAGTTTTTCTCTTTTTCTGAAAAACTCAATTTTTTTCATTGTTACTTTTGATGTAAAAAAGTTATATTGTATAATCTAAGCAGTCTGTAAAGCTGTACACAATGCTTTATCAACTGCCGCGGTTTACATGTGAATGTTAACAAGAAATACTTTTTTTTTTAACAGGTGATACTGTCAATGCAACAACTGGGAGTAAACTACGATATAAAAATACCAAATTCTAGTGTGAATTTAAAACGCGCAACCGTACCGTCGAAACTTGCAATATTAAGAAGACAGTTTATAACTTTTAGTAAAATGCAACAAAATGAAGTTAATCAAATTGCCACGTTATTTGTACAATATCTTAATAACAATATACGGTAAAAGTGAATTTATATCTTTGTTTTTTAATTTTAATATAACTTTACATATGCGTATGTGTGTGTGCGTGCGCGCGCAATTAGAATTAAGAGTTCAAAAGAATTCTTGACTATGATTGGTTGATTCTTACGGTACGTCTTATGGTTACTGTTAAGCTGGTTCTATATTAGTCGCATCGCAATGTTGCAAGCATTGCGGTCCAATCAACGTCAAGCTAGCTCGACTCTAATGTAGAATCAGCTTAAGATGTACAAGAATAGAAGTAGAAGTAAGCAGTAAGACGTAAGACCACCATCTTTCATATGTATAGATATACTGGCAATGTTAATTGCCTACTTCGTACATCTTACTGCTTAATGCTTACTGCTTGTTGCTTACTTTTATTTCTATGTGCGTTCACCTTTACTCTTGCGCATTTTGAACAGATAGTAAGAAGAGCGGTACCCAGAAGCTGCCATGTCGCCGCAGTTATTTAAAGTTGACGCAATGTCATTATGACATTATGTTGCATTCTTTCCTTTGGAAAGTCGAAAAAAATGTAAATTTCTGCATCCTTTTTTTTTCGGAAACTATTTGTACACGTTTTTACTTGATACATACTCATTTCCGCAATATGTCACTTCAAAGTTACTGCGATGTAAATGTTTAAAATGATCGCATCTAAAGTCACTAGATAACAAAGTACCGCGATGGGAAAATTCACTGAATTAGCATTTGGAGCCAAAATGGCATTGAGTACAGATATTGCATTTAGTGTAATATATCTATATATTAAGTGTAATCCAAAGTGCAATCCTAGCCTGATTACATTCATATTTAAGTTTGAAATAACCGCGTCATGGAGCCAAAATGGCGGCAGTTCGCGGTACTTTGTTAATCTAGTGACTTTAGTCGCTCTGGTTGTGTGCAGAACAGTACGAAACACCATGGACACGGTAGCAGGGTTGCCAGATTGGGCGATTTATCGCAATTTGAGCGACTTCAAGAGTTGAAAATGCGACTGAATTTGAAGCTTTTGTGACCGTCGCAAATTGGGCGATTTTGAAAGAAAATTATACGACTTTCAGTTTTCTATAATATAAAAATCGGTTGGGGAGCTATGTGAGCTACGTGAACGGAAAATGCAGTCCTTTGTATGTGTGTACATACATATGTATATACCGTTAAGGCATCGCATAAGGAAATCGACCAATCAGAATCTTTCGTTTCTACCCTAGGAATGAAAATGAAGTGGATGAAATTGTATGGTACTATTTAAAAAATTTAAGATGACTTTGATTTTTTTATGAAACATTTAAAAAAATTTTTTTATCGCATGTTATAGTCTGTATAAAACAGATGAATATTCACCCCTTTCAACTTTTTTTAACTCAGAAGTGTCTGAAAAATCGTGCGGACTGTTATGCTGAACATGTATGTGTATATATATTATATATATATATATAGATTATGTATATATATATATACATACATAATCTAATTATCGTTGCAATAACGTCGCATAATTGTACAATAATGAAAATCATTGGTTTGTAAATATTTATAAAGCCTTGGTCAAACATATGTTTTAGACTTCATCCAAATGACTCGTGATACAATAAACAAGAAATATAATTAAATTTGATATTGTCTGCAGTTATGGTACACTGATCAATTTAAAAAAATAGTTTGTCTATTATTTTCAAGGCATTACTGAAGTTACAAAAACACTCTCATAACGCCATTGAAAACTTTTTTGTATGAAATGAGTCTTTACATTTGAATAGATTGAGACAGATAAAGATATAAAAAAAGAAAAAATATAATATAAGTCTTAAACGCAATCATAGAACTAGTTCTCACACGTGAAACACGGCTGCACTTAAACAATAACATCTCAACGTTCTACACTTCTTCAAAAAGAAAAAGCGCCAGGCTGTAATCAATTCTCTTGTTCTTGCACACTGTTAGTTTCACCTCCATTCTGATTGTGATTTACACCGTCTACATGTCCGTTGGGTTTTCGACAAACAAAGTACACACTATTATATTCGCACTGTAACATACTATTAATATTCTGGGCATAACGCGTTTTCACTTTTGTCTCTTCCTTCTAAAAAAAAAAGATAGACTATATGTCCGTGAACGTTTCGGGAATACCGTATATGTAAAACTAAAGTTTATTACCTCCAATTGAAAGCCAAAGCCCAGAATAACGTCACGGATAGCGTCATAACTCGGCTCGATGGAGTCTTCGTTTGGTAAATCGCTGAAATGATAGAGCAACGGTCCGAGATTTATCCAGACGCCACCTGGTTTGAGGATCTTATAAATCGTCTCGATAAATTGTACAACGTTATTGGCACAGTCTATGAAGAAACATGTTGCGATGCAATCCCAATGATTGCTCTCTGTATAAACCTGAAATAAATTATGTCGACTGAAGATAATATTATGATTACTTACAGTTAATGCAAAAAGTATCCATGGAGGAGACTTTAAAATCTTATTTTTAAGAAGTAATATTAAGTAGTGATTTATTAACAAAGAATAAAATAAATTGTATATTTTTCCAAATTATTTTGTCTGTAAAAAGATGTAATAATTAAAATATATTATCTTAATAATAAGCCAAAATGAAAACTTGTAGTATTGGATGCAAAAAAAGTACTCTTTTATTTATATTAGAATAGAATATTATAAATAAGTAATTAATATTTATTTTCTAAAAGTAAGGTTTTTTTAAAAGATATCTTCTCTGTACAAATATTTCTGTGCTCATTATGCATGTTATATATTCTTGTTTTACCTCTAAAAAATCACCCGCGGTCATAGAGAATTGCGCATTTCCTGGAAGATCGCTCGGGCTTACGTCGGGGAAAGAAACTGCCTGCGTCTGGTGCTCGGGTTTCAAGTTATTCATATATTGATGCACCCACGGATGTACTTGATACAAGTTTATATCTCTACATCTGTTACAAAAGGAAAAATTGTGACAAAAGATGTGAAGGTGATTATATTCGCGTTATTGTTACTTACTTGTTTAATACAAAGTTCGACGCAAACAACATAAATAGGGAAAATTCATTTCCTTGACAGGTATATCCACGCTTTGCAATTTCGAAGGCAAGACGGCCTAATCCTGCACCAGGTACTAAAATATGCACGTCCGACGGTTTACTGGAAATTCAACTATCATTTGATATTTCTTTCAGTCATGTTTCGGTGTGGTTTACAAGAGAAACTATCGAAATATTTTAAAGATTTTCAACTGTAATTTCATCAAAGGTTTATCCTGTATGTCAATTTAGTGTGTCCTTTGATGAAAACGCAGCTTAAGGTCTTATAAACTTTAAGAGATTTTGCAAGTTTCTCTTGATTTTGCTTTCTTCATTTCTTTGATACATTATAATAATTGCTTGTACAATAATTATGAATTATCATACCAATTCTCCAATGGAAATTGATATAATATTTCGTCTACAATTAGCTGATAACACGCTTTTCGTTCTTCAGCACCTTCCACACTCCAGTCCCGTACCAATTGTTTAATGGTAGCTTGCACCTTCTCTTGATCTGACATTACAGGCCTTAGATTTAGCGTCTGTAATGAAATCCATTTATTTCACATAATAGAACAATATCACAGAGATAGCAATTTGAGCAGGATTGGATAATGAAATTAATTGAATTAGAAGTTACATTAATAAAGAAAGTAAGAGTGAAAAGTTAACAGTTACATTTCGTCTGAATGAACAATCAAAGGATAAAAAAAGAAAAAATTTGACCGTTTTTTACATAATTTTTTATATTTTTCCTTTCTCACAGCATTATCCATTAAAGAATCACTGGTTTTGTTTATAACTAACGATTAAATGATATAAAAGACATAAAATTACTATATTTCCAAAAAGTCAAATTAAAAGTTAATAAATTACTGATAAAATGTAACTTAATAAAATGTAAATGTAAATTAAGTTAAAAAGAGTCTAAAATGTAATCAAGTCAAGTAAAATCAATTAACTTTTTAACACAACTTTTTAGCACTATCCAACCCTGTGTTGAAGTAATTAAAATTAAATTTAACAAAACTATATCTCATATAGCACAGCTTTTCAAAGGACATCCAGAGAATGTCCTATGTCCTAAGGACATCCCTCAGATAAAGTGTGCTGGGTGGATATGATAAAAATATCAAAATATATTTTAAAACATTGATTACATTGTAGAAAAACTTTACTAAATTAATTAAACTCTATCTATGTTCGATAAATAAAATGTTAGGTAAATGTCTCTTACATTGTCAACTTGAGCGGTTGTTGGACATACATTTTCAAATATATGGGCTACATCTTTTATTATGAGTTTTATGATCTGGTCATTGTTCTCGATACACCGTTTGACCTCTTGCAAATGTTCCTTATACTTTGACAGAAGCTTCTGATGATGTTGTGGTAGACTAAGAAAATAAGACTCTGTTTTTCTCACTCTTAGCAAGGAGTGTGTTCTGCGCAACAAACAGAGAAGAAATTAAAAAACGAAAGAATTCCTGTATGCATCGAGCGTCGAGTCACCAACATTATTTACATAGTAAAAAAATATCACGCTAGTGACCTCTGAATAGTAATCACTTACAAATCGAGTTCTCTCGTAATGAACGATAATTAATAATGAACGTGTCTCTCCAGTGACTCTTGAGCAATAATAAAAAGGAAAGCGAGTGGAATTCAAGACTAAAGTTGTCGTGCTGGTTCTCGTCATCGACATCGGCATCAAGGAATAAGAAGGAACGAAATTTGAGAAAAAATGGGGAGAGAGGTGAGACTGGATTCGTGGTACTCACTTGTAATATCTGAACGCGGAGACGATTCTCTGAAAGTGCTTTCGTTCCTCTTCATCCTCGTAACTGTTGTGCATTCTTCTCGGATGCGAACTCGCAGTCGTGTCCATCGCTTCCATCTTTAATATACGACTTTCCGCGAGGGTCTTATTTTATAATGAATCCTACCTCTCGCTCCGCGCGCCGGAGAGCGTTTA